ACTCACGGATGAAACCAGAAAGATCTCACGCAGGAGGAAAACTGGTCTGAGCGTCTCGCTTCTAAGACCGTTGTTGTTCCTTCTTGTCTAAAATAGGAATTTCTTGGCAATCTTCCATCGACCACAGGCACACTCCACTATGATTCATATTTTCCAGTAACCTTCACTGTGCAAGTAACTTCTAATTTCTTCTGAATTGTCTCAGCGTTGACAGATTAGGGTTAGGAATTGGATTTCTGGCAGGAATGTTGGAATTCATCCAGACACATTCATATTCAGAAGTTTGGAAGCTTTATCTTCATAGGTTTCATGGCGTGGAAATATGCACAAGGATAACGCTACACTTAGCTTAACTACTCAGTGAGAGTCTTGACACTTCTGAAATATCATTCACTGAAAGGAGCAGAAATTATTTCTTTTGTTACCAGTATCTATAGGGGCCGGGATCTCAGACGGTACAGCGACGGGCTGGGCAACATAGGTTTCATTGCCGGTAGGGGCAACAGTGCCCAAACCGACTCTCGGGTCTACCAATCCTGCTATATATCGGATACCTAGGGCCGAGGCCGAGGCGTGAAGCTGACGATCTATTGCCAAGGTTAGAAACTGTGGAGCTACACTTCCACTGCCCCTTGAATCTTGATGATGCGGTGCTTAATTACTTAAGCACAGGGACAACTTTACTTACAAGTACCCATGTGCCACTTTATGTGGCATATTTATGTACTATAGTTTATATTTGCACAGAAAGGTATACCTATACCGGGAAACGCATATGCTTTAATTAATTTAATTTTGTAGTTGTTTATGCAGTAAAAGTTAAAGCTATCCTTGTAACCGGCCTTGGAAACCCGTAAGATTGAGACGTCGAGGCTCCCACATTTTCTAGAAAATCGGCTTAAAGATGGCGGTGAGGTTATCAGCCTAACGCGCCGGCCGCACTTTCACCCCGACGAAGATTTGTATTGGAGGCTGAGTCGACTCCGGGGTTATAATGCGACTGTAAGGTTTAGGTCAGCTGAAAAAAAAACAGTAACCTCATCGAGAATCGAAACCACGACCTTCCTGCTTGTAGCGTACTGCCTCAGCCAATTACCCTACCCTATGCCCCAAAAGTTTATGCGATAGCTTCTTATAATAAATTAAAATATTTGAACTGAGAACGTTTGTACCGCTTCCACTGGGAACCATTAGCCCACTGAACTGCAAGAAATTCCTTAAAGTCTGTAACTATATAAGAAATCTTATTTGCATTTAAAACATACACATAAACATACCCTCATTATAATATTTGGGAGGGCTATTCCCTATGCATTGACACGTTATCTGGTTTCTGTCGGCTTAAAGGAAATGGTCTGGAGCAGCAGGGGACACTCCGCGGGGTTCCGGTTTCCTCGCAGTGCATTCAGAGCGGCAGGAGGGTAATCCCAATTAGCCAGGCCAGGGCTGACTACACCACTTTTTGTACAGCGGAGTGTCTACCTTGCAAACATTGCAGTAGGCCTACTTGTCTGGGGCTGTGGGTGGCCAAGAGAAGAGTTTCTACAACCAGACTCTCTTGTACGGTTAGGGGCGAGGGGACACCAAGGAAACTGGCAACCGCAACGCAACCACAATTTCCAAGAATTGTTATGAGCCTGAGATGAACACATGTTACTGAATGCAGTATCGAAAATTGAGTAAACCTCGTTGCTGTTTCCTCAGTTTGCGCTTTTCCATTCAGTAATATGTGTTCAACTCAGGCTGATAAAAGTTCTCGGAAATTGCGGTTGCGTTGCGGTTGCCGGTTTCCTTGGTGTGACCCCACCCTTAAGTTACAGGTATCCATTCCTCATTAGCACCATGCTGGAAAGATGAATAACTTCATGCACTCATATTCTGGATACTAGAATGGGGTGAGTGCTGAGTTCACGCCCCGGCATGTTTATCCTCGCGGAAATTCGCCGTATTTCTCATCTTCCATGCGTGCTTACCATGCGCATTCTCGGTGTGACCCCCTTAATTATATATGATAATAAAAGGAGATATTGTGAAGTATTTCATCACAGTAAAAAATAAATGTCACTATTCAAAATACGGGAGCCGGGATAGCTCAGTCGGTATGGCGACTGCTTACGGGCTGGACGACCGAGAGGCCGGTGTTCGAATCAGGCGGGGCGTTTTCCACGTCTTGCAGACCGGTTCTGGGACCCTTCCAACCTTCTATCTAATGGGTACCGGGGACACTTTCTCCGGGAGTAAAGCGGCCCGGGCGTGAAGCTGACAGTTCACCTCTATCTGGTGCCAAGGTCAAGAATTAGAGGATCTATATATCCACTCCCCCATATCCCATCATGGCGTAGTGTATAATTAATTAAGCACAGGGGCAACTTTTTTTTCCCCCTTTGGCACTACAGCCCCTGTGGGCCTAGGCCTACCTCCATGAACTTCTCCGTTCACTTCGGTTTTTCTAGATCTTACACATTCGGTAGGACTCCTTGGGCGGGTGATCAGCTTGTCGCAAGACTTCTACCTATACACAAACACAGAAAAACGCACACACACACAAATTAACATCCATGCCCTGAGTGCAATTCGAACCCACGATCCCGGTTTCCAAGCGAGCGAAGGCAGTACATGCCTTAGACCACTCGGCTACCGTGACCGGCGGGGCAACTTTTACTATTCAAAATACTCGGCAGGCCATAGAAAACCGTTTGGCCTCTCATATGACAGATGGTGAACTGTCCCCTGGAAGGCATCAACTCCCACGACAAGTTTTACGGCGGGTCGCTTCTGGTAGGGCCTTATGGGAACAACATTTTATTTCGCACGAAAACCAGCTGAAATGAAATATAAGTACTGATGGGGAATCTGGTTTTGGTAGTGTATGACGTAGGGTCCTGTCAGATGAGCAACCTCCGCTCATGAACTTGCCGTTTCACGAGAATATAAAACAGTCTGTCAGCTGGTTCCGAATTGGTGACAGAGGACACACAGGCAGGACATCGGTTTCAGAAGAAAGTAGTTAACCGGTTATGCAAACCAGTTACATCGATACAAAACAAGTCTGTATCAAGTTCGCAAAATTTTCGGGCCAACCGACTTCACACAAGTTTCAAATAAAGAAGGAGACTCAGCTGTTGTCCCTTACCAGACTGTGTTTTAGGACACCTGGCTGACGGTTACATTTATATCGTGCAATACGAGAAGTTACCTTTCCTTGTGTGTGACAGCCTTCGCCCTGAGGTTTAGTAGTATCACTCTTAATGACGTAATAACGAGTATGCCAAGGACCCTGAGAGCTTACCAGCGGTAGCGTAGCTACTGGCAGGGCCTCCCTTGCTGGACAGGTCAAAGGGTAGGCATCAGACGAAGAGAGACCAAAAACCAAAAACTGATGCCAGAAGTAGCGTCATCAGCAGCGACTTGAAGCACAGAGCAAATGATGCTCGAGATGGTTCAAGTTCGTATAGCAACAGGCGTGACCAGAGCGGTTTGAACGGCTGTTGTACTGCGATGTGGAAAGCAAATGGAAAAACTACCACATTATCACTTTTCCTGGATAGTCTCTTTCCAAAAACAGAGATACCATATATGCGAGGTGTTTCCTCTGGAGACAAAACAAACCTGGAGGGGCGGACAGAAGTGCCCAGAAGACGAGGAAGAAGATGATGGATGACCTTGGGGACAGAAGAGGATATTTTAATTGAAGGAGAAAGCTTGAGATCGCATTAAGTGGAGGAACTGTTTTGGAAGAGACTGTGGACCTGTCGTCTGACAGATTACTGATGAATGAATGAATGACGTAATAACATGATAATGTTCAATTTAGTAAAGTCTGCTGCGAGTCTTTCACCTTAACAAGCCTAATGAAGACTTTAACGCCTTTCTTCGTTACTGGAATTTTAAAGTGACGGATTGTTTCGAAATAAGTCTAAAAAATTACATGAAGATTATGTTCGTTTTAGATGAAACGTCAGAGCTATTCCTGTAACAGGCTGTGAAGGCCCATAGGGTTGTGAGACGTCAAGGCTCCCACATTTTCTCTAGAAAATCGGCTCACAGATGGCGGTAAGGTTGTCAGCCTTACGCTCCTGACACCCTTGGCCCCCCAGGAAGAGTTCTGGTACTTATTTCTGTTAGAAGTTAAGTGGACCCCAAGGCCATAATGCGTCTGGAAGGATTTGGTCAATGGAAAATATCCACCTCATCGGGATTCGAACCCGTGACCTTCCGGCTTGTAGCACAGTGTCTCAACCAGCTACGCCCCTACGCTACCGCGTGACCATATGCAGTAAATTACAAATAATATAAGCCTACATTTAGTGAATGTTATTTATAACCTCATACAAACATTATCATTGTTAAGACAGACAGAGATGGTAACGTTCTCTCTCGGTTTGCTTTGTAACTGTTAAAGCAACATTCTTTTTGTGGTAACTTCATAACACTTAAAATAACGTTCTCTCATATCGCTTTATAACCGCTAAAGCAACGTTCTGTTAGGTAACTTCATAACCCTTAAAATAACGTTCTCTCATATCGCTTTATAATCGCTAAAGCAACGTTCTGTTAGGTAACTTCATAACCCTTAAAATAACGTTCTCTCATATCGCTTTATAATCGCTATAGCAACGTTCTCTGAGATAAATTTGCTCGTATTACTCCGTAAGCAACGTTTCGTCATCGTCTTATAACTCCTGAAGTAACGTTCTGTTAGATCGCCTTTTAATTCTAAAGTAAGAATTTCTCAGATAAGTTTATTACATCTAAAATAACGTCCTCCACTTAGATCATTATGTAACTCCAAACGCAACATACAGTCACCATTTTACAACCCCTAAAGCAACACTCTGTCAGACTGCTTTATTTACTTCAAAAATAGCATTGTTTCGGGTTGTTTTATAACTCATAACATATCGATCTCACAGACAACAATTTATAAAATCTAAAATAGCGTTCTAACCGATCACTTCATAACTCACAAATTAATGCAGCAAATTTGTGTTGTGACTTACCTGAGTCACTCACACTTTCACTTTGCAGTCCGTCTCTTTCATCGTCATTGAAGTCCAGTGTTGTTTTGTAGCTCTGTAAGTTCTGAGATAATTATCCGGCGGACGGATAGCGTTTGTTTTGGGGTGTGTCCGTGAAGATAAACAGCAACATCTGCAATTAATGAATAGAAAGAAACAGTAGACAAATTATAATCTTCAATATTTCAATATTTATATCAATGAAATATGTTACATTTGCATGAAGAGTAAAATTCGCTTATCTAAAATGATAACAGTTATAGAGGCTTTCCATACCTTTAAGTTCAAGTCATTCCTCTTATACCCTGAAGATGGAGGCATTACGTTCCTCAGAAATATAATTACCTATTTACCGGACTGCCGGTCACGGTATCCGAGCGGTCTAAGGCATGTACTGTCTTCGCTCGCTTGGAAACAGGGATCGTGGGTTCGAATCCCACTCAGGGCATGGATGTTTATTTTGTGTGTGTGCGTTTTTCTGTGTTTGTGTACAGGAAGAGGCCTTGCGACGAGCTGATCACCCGCCCAAGGAGTCCTACCGAATGTGTAAGATCTAGAAAAACCGAAGTGAACGGAGAAGTTCATGGAGGTAGGCGTCGGTCCACTGGGGCTGTAGTGCCAAGGAAAAAAAAATTACCGGACTACACAGTGTCATGTCCCAGATGATGATGATGATGATCCTGATATTCACCGCCGTTAGAAAACCTCAAATCCCAAAATTTCAAACCAGTGACTAGTGTAGTGATATGGAATACCCAGATGCGAGGAATGTTAAGTAGTTTCTATTCTCGACGCGTCGTTTGACGTGAATAAAAAGGACGCTGTTGCGTAACGGAATGGGTGGTAATTTGAAGTGCGACTGAGGGGGAAACTGAAACTGATGCCAACATTATGCAGTGAAAACCATGGTAAAAGTTAAAGTTATCCTTGAGCTTAACTAATTAAGCACTACGCCATGGAGGAGTATGGGGGAATGGATGTATAGATCCACGTGTTCTTGACCTCGACACCAAGGGAAGGAGCCTCGGTACCCATTGGATAGGAGGTTGGGTGGGCCCCAGAGCCGGTCTGAACGACGTGGAGTACTGAAAATTCTTGATTCTACCGAGACTCGAACTCCGACCCCTCGGTCGTCCAGCCCTTAGCCAGTCGCTATAGCGACTCCTGTGAAAACTATGCATACATTTTTAATTCTGCTCACTTATTTACTTACATGGACAACGACACGTGACTACGAAAGATACCAGATAAGCTTCTAAGCTAATTTCATAGAGACCGAGTTCTCGCTGTAGCTACTTCCACGCCACGAAGATGACAGGGAGTCAGGATCTCTTCATTTCTGCGCTACATTGAGGCCAATGTTCAGTTTCACATTGTGATCGCGGTATCATAGTCGGTTGAGGAACTATTATACAAGCCGGAAGGTCGCTCGTTCGAGTCCCGATGAAGTGCATTTTTTTTTGCAATTGACCTAACCTTTCCAGCCGCGCTATGGCCCTGGGATAGACTCAGTCTCTAACAGAAATGGGTACCAGGACGGTACTCATGGTTACACAGCATGGTCGACAGTCTTACGTCCAACCACAAACCTGGAGGACCAGGTGTCTGCATTTATGTTCCCCCCGTGACAGAGTGGCCCAGTTATACCCCCAGGTACCGGGTTCCCTTGTCATCGCCTTCTACGACTCGCAGGACTGTACTATTTTAACATACAGTGAATAAGTTTCATATTCTCTTATATGGAATAAAATAAATTGGGCCAGCGTGTCGAGGTGACTCATTGTGGTTTTCTTGTTACAGTGCGCATACGGGTCCGGCTTCTTCGAGCTTCAGATCCTGGAGATCGCCAACTACCGGAGCGAGCTGGCGTCGGGTGCATGCTGTGGGTCGCAATCTCGGCCCGACAGCTCGGTTCCTTGCCCGCGACCCTGTAGCACGTTCTTCCGCGTCTGTCTCAAGGAGTACCAGAGCAACGTCACGTCCACTGGCTCATGTTCCTTCGGCAACACTTCTAGCCCCGTACTGGGCGGCAGCTCCCTCACCCTCGCAGACCCGGACCGTGCCAATGGCAAGCTCGTCGTGCCCTTCATCTTCCGCTGGACGGTAAGTAGTTCTAAACCGAGATACTGAGCTGTTTGCTGGCTGTACAAACCTCGAAGCATCTTTCAGCCTGTGAGGTGAGGCGCAGTGTTCCTGCATACGCAAGAATACTAGAGAAAGAAATATAAGTAAGTAAGTATGTAAAGGGATCCCTGTAACAAGCCGTGGAGGCCCATAGGAATGTGATACATTGAGTTTCCCACATTTTCTAGACAATCGGCTCATAGTGGCAGCAAGGTTGTCAGCCCTACGAGCCGGCCGCAATGTGGTCTTAAAATTCCTAGTTTCGCCTTTATATCTGGTTGGAGTAAAATCTGTGGTCTAGTGGTCAGAGTTCCTGGCTACAGATCCAGAGGTCCCGGGTTCGATTCCCGGCGCTACCACATTTTCTGAGAAGTAGTGGGTCTGGAACGGGGTCCACTCAGCCTCGTGAGAATAATTTAGGAGCTATTTCAAGGAAATAGCGACTCCGGTCTAGAAAACCGAAATCAACGGCCATGGTGATTCGTTGCGGTGACCAAAAGTTGGCACTAACTTCGCCGACAAGCGGCGGTCGCTCGGTCGGTATAGTTCGTTTGCGGACTACAGGTCACGGAGTTTTTTTTTTTCTGAAAAACCAGAGGAAAGATTTTGGAGATTTTTTCAGGCAGGTCAACTTCTAGGGACAGCAGTTACACAGACTGGATTCTGGATTTTGTCTCGGACACATCAAAGTCCATGGATAAGAATTTCGGAAACAGAATTCATGTTTTATTCCACACAGGGCGACGTCCGGAAATTATGATTTTAGAAACACGATTTTAGTCTTTGTTAAGCATAAGATTCAACTTAAGAAATGAGGAATTCAGTGACAACATTTCGGTTTAGGTCCCAGACACATCATCTTCTTGGAATAATAATTTCAAAGATTAAGATTGGGCCGTGCCCCATACATGTGTAACACGATGACGGCTTTGCACTTGGAGGAAACAAGCAAGGATAGACGTGAATGATCAGCATGCACAGCGTGTGCAGTGGCGGTACAGCGTGGCGAGGCATGTTCAATGAGGGCCTCCCCCCCCGCTACTCTTTCCTGTGGTCATTGCAGTCTGCACCCGATTCCCACGGTCCGTGTACTGCAGGCTCGCTAGCCAGCGGACTGTAGCGGAATGATGTCATAGTCAGACTCGCTCCTGTTTTCATTCAACCTCAGCTGATCAGATGTTATTGAGTGAGTATACATCAGATGACAAGATGTAGTTACAAGAGACGCTGACAGCGTTCATGTAAGCAGATCCACGCAAGGACCCAACAGATGTGGTCCAATCTCGCTGTTATCGGGGGACCTCATTGCAATAAGAAAAACATGAACAGGAAAATACTGCATTTGTATTGTCATGTGTAGGGGTGACTTATAAGACGGGAGTTTTATTGGATGATAGGATTTATTGCACCTTATACATTCACACAGTTAGGGACTACCGGCAGTGCAAAGCTGTCGCAATTCTACGCTCCTTCCAGTTCACCGCTGGACACGCACAAGGATTCCCAGTCTTTACTAGTCGTATCCTGGCAACGGATTTATTAGTCTCACTGTAACCTCAAATCACAAGTGAAGTCTTCTTTGCACGGCCCACATCCTTGCTTACCATTTCATCTCAGTCACCTTCGACTGCCATCTCCAGAACTCGACCGAATTCTCTTCCGACTACCGTTCTCTACGCCCTGCTACTCTGCTTCTGCGTCTCCTGTTCTGCCGAACACTTCCTATGACCACTTTACACGGACTCAACGGAAAACTCCGCCTTCTGTTGTCAAGAATGCGTGTTTACTGGTCCGTTACCTAGCAGTGGATGTCCTATTGTCGCGTGCACGTGTGTTTGCGGGAATGTGTTTACACACCTGTTGCCTAGCAGGCTCTGGCAGAGGTGAGTATGAAAGGTCCTGTCTTCTGGAATATAAAACCGTATAGTTTCTTTGAAAATCAACCGACGTTTCTGAGGAACATGTCGCCTCCATCTTGAAAGTCGATGAATAATCCAAGCAAGAAACCAACATGAAGCAGGCAGCAAACAGAGCTATGCTTGCTATCTGTTTCGTGCTGATTTCTTGCTTTGACCCTGAAGATTGATGTCACATGTTACTCCGAAATGTCGGTTAATTTTCAACGCACTCCACGGCGTTATATTCCAGCGGTCGCGCTGTAATTACTTGTAGTTCCGAGTCGTGTGAATACGCGGTCAATAAATGCAATATCCAATCCATAACCCCGTCGAGAGCCACACTCCATACCACGTGACAATAGCATTTCATCTATTTTTAGGTATAATAATTTCGACATGGTTGTTTTAAATGTTATACATGTGTGCAGACTATGAGGTCTTGTTTGCTTCATGGTTTCAAAATCCGGTTACATGTGTTTTGTGCATGCGAGCCTTCTTTTATACAAACAGAACTGCTCACAGGGCTCAGGACATGGAGTTGGCCACGAGACAAGGAGTGTTAACTGGAGAGCGGTATTTGCTGAATGTCCACAGTAAAAAGTCGATTCACTTGTTGTATCTTCTCTCCGGATATGGTATAGAAATACGTCACAGGACTGGACAAGGTCTCCATGTAGGAAACTTATCAGAATAGTAGACATACCGTTTGAAATGCTATAAGGAAAAGGAAGATGTGGGATCTAATTATCTAGTGCAACAACCGGAAGTTCCAAGGAACTCCGGTGAAAATGATCGCGAACTACTTACACGCACCTCCGATTTATACAACCTCTCTTCATAAGACTCATTTTGGTATCAATTTCTCCTCTCCTCTCTAATCTACGTAGGCGCTCCCATAAAGCACACTCCGCAATGATTTTGAATATGAACCTGCATCCATGTTTTCAAGACAGTAATAAGATCAATGTTGGTTACGGTAGCCGAGCGGTCTAAGGCATATGTACTATCTCCGCTCCTTCGGAAACCGGGATCCTGGGTTCGAATCCCACACAAGGTATGGATGTTTGGTGTGTGTATGTGTTTTTGTCCTGTGTTTAGGTACAGGCCTTGCGACGAGCTGATCACCGGCCCAAGGAGTCCTACCGAATGTGTAAGATCTAGAAAACCCGAAGTGAACGGAAAAGTTCATGGAGGTAGGCCTAGGCCCACTGGGGCTGTAGTGCCAAGGTTAATTACTCTACGTGTACAGTACAGTACATAGTTCGATCCTTTCGTTTGTACGTGAACAAACACTGCAACAGTGGACATTGTAAAGCAATGACCATTCAGACAGGTGACAATGGAACTCGAAAGAAACGAAACAGATGTAAAGTGCGATTTCTGTATGTGTTCAACATGTGATTTTGATTTGAAATAACTTTCGGGTTCCATGAAATGTTGGAATTTCTTGAGTAGCTGCACAACTCGGGGCTTCTTAAAAAAGGCTGAACTCCATGAAGTTCGTTAGTTACAGATTGTTATATGCGTATTTTAGAAGGCTGATCTAGAGAGAAAGCATTAAGGGTTTTAGTATCTAGCTAGCGTCATCTATGCTACAAGCCGGAAGATCGCGGGTTCAAATCCCGATGAGGTCATTGGGGTTTTTTCAATTGACCTAAGCCTTTCAGCCGCATTATGGCCATGCGGAATATTTCTTGGAGTAAAGGGCGGCCGGCACGTAAGGCTGACAACCTTACCGCCATCTGTGAGCCGATTGTCTAGAGCAGGTATGTCCAACTTCAAACAGGTTGTGATCGACTTTTTAGTGTCAAAACTGGCAGTGATCTACCACCCCCTCCTATCGTCGTACCTCGCTTTAAGCAAAAATATTGGTAAAAATAACACGACACCTGATGTTGTAAAAGCAACCAGTAACTGGGCTGTGTCTGATGTCTGTAGCTTCAGCCAGTTGGAGGGAGACAGCAACACAATTGGAAACATCTGTCAACAACTGTTCAGTTATGTTTCCACACATCATTTCTATTCGCCGCACAATGGCGTTTCTTGATAGTTAAAGATCTTGAATAGTAGGTATGATATCTTTCTTATTTTATATTACAAGTGAATTTACAAGCTTTTCACGTATAATTTCCTTACAGGCCTATGTGATCGACCAAATATCGTCCCGCGATCGACGTGTTGGACATGCCTGGTTTAGAAAATACGGGAACCTTAACATCTCACAACCCTATGGACCTCTACGGCCTGTTACAGGGATACTTTTACTTTTTTTTAATGGCTGATATACGTAATAATATTAAAATATCTTAAAGAGAGGATGGGATGGTATGGATTGGACTGATCTGGCTCATGATAGTGACCAGTGGAGGGCTCTTGTGAACACGGTAATGAACCTTTCGGCTTCCGTAAAGTGCTGGAAAGTAGGTACACAATTGGCGGCTTCTCAAGGACGGCTCAGCTCCATGAGTGGTAGCATCAGGACAGTTGCCGTGTGGAAGCCGGTTAGAACACCTCTACCTAATCCTACTAGTCATAGGAGAAGACGAAAAGGGAAAGTGTGTGCCTGGGGGTATAACTGGGTTACCCTGTTACTGGTGGACATGCATAGAGACCTGGTCTTCCAGAATGGGGGTTGGACTGGCGACCTTGCTCTGTAAAGAAATTATTGTTGTGAAATCCAAAGAAGTAAAAGGCAGATGGTCTACTCTGGCAGTTCAGAAAGGGCTGTTTTGCCACTGATGATGACATTGGTATAGGCAATCACTGCAAAAAGAAAAGCAGTTCATGGTCGAAAAGAATTCTGAACCTGGCCTTCATACATCTGAAGACCAGCCTGGACCTATCACATGCAAATGGCATGTCGGCAGGAGTCCAGGAACTCTATTTAAATATACTAGCCACTTAACACAATCCTCTCGTCTATTTGCTTTGACCTAGGCTAAAAATGTTCTTCACACCAACCTCCATAAAAAATATGCATAGTTTATGATAACTATTGAGTCATATGAACCAGAGCAAGCTTACAAGAAATGTTACGTATTGACATCAGCCCCAAAACAGTAGTAAAATAACAAGAACTTA